CTCGTTTTATGCATAGTTTCTCCCTCTCGATATAGTGTGCTGGTTCTTCTCTCTTGACAACAAGATGTCTTTTCCGGTTGCTATGAAAAATCATTGCGGCTGAGTTGAATGTTTTCGTCATTTTTATGTGGTTGATAATTCCTTTTTTTTCTTTAAGAGCTACTCACAATGCTTTCAGCGGAAATGGTTTTCCTGCCAGGAGGTTTCTCTGGTTACAGCAGTTTCTCATGTTGTTGATTGATGAAAGTTCCTGTAATCCATTGTTTCTCTCCATTTCTCTCAAAACACTCCAAAATGGTTTCTTTGTGTCTCTTTTTTTTGTTTCTTGTTTAAAATTTGTGTGTTTCGAGAGTTATATTTATTTTTCTGGCGAACGCCATTGACAAGAGTTCCGAAAGTTTTTAAATTGAAATGTTGAAAACTTAAACTTTGGTTGGCTTTTGGTTAAAAAGTCTCTCTCCTTCAGTTCCGAGGGAAAGATATAGCATGGATCTCATTTTTTTGTCTGCCTCCTCTGGACGCATTCCATTAAGTTCTTGATTTTCTGCTTTTTGGGAAGATGCTTCTACAGCGCGGTAAAATCTTTGTTCCGGTAGGTCCCTTTCCAATCTAGCGTTTTTTTACCTTGAGTTTTGTCACCTTCTGGGGTATTATAGAAGATAAGTGGCGTTGTAGGATTTCCTTACAATCGATATTCTTTTTAGCTATGATTGCTAATTGGAAAATGTCTCCTCAGTCTTACCTTGGAGTTGGAGAGTCGATTGTGTGATTCTACCAAAATTGTGAAATTCCTCTTACGGTCGATTCACTATTGCTTGACTGCGCCATGATAAAATAATCTAATGCTAAACCTAAATCTAATTAAAATAAAAAGAACAAATATAAAATCAGTGAATTATTTAATCACTTAAAATTGGATAGAAATATAATCAAATCACAACCCATGTTTTAGTCTTCAAAGCAACTGTCGTGTTTTTAGAACATAATCTCAAAACATGCTCTAAAACATAGAACATAAACACTAAAACATGATTATGTTCAACATAATTACGTTCTACATGATCAAGTTCTTCATGATTATGTTCTACATTTAGAACATAATCACGAAAACATAGAATATAATCATGAAGTTTCATTTGTTGGGTCAACTTATTGTGAATTGTAAATTATTGTTAGAATCAACAAATAGGGTCAACAAGTTCTCAAAGCGCAGCATAAAAAATGAGAAATCATTCATTTGCTTAGCCTGAACGCATACAAAGATTTGTACCAGTTTGACACCTAAAAAAAAGCCAATTTTATTTCATTCAAAAATTTGAACATGTTTAAATTAGGTTTTTCCGATCGTTTCTTAGCTAGAAAGCCGCTAGTGCTTAGTTTTTGATTTTTTTTCCGATGGAACATCTGTTGAAGATCTGAAATGCTTGATTTGTCTTCATCATTGCTTAAAAAAATACGACCACTTCACTAAACGCTGGGCAATTGTTCTAAATCGTTTATGATTTTCTTTCTAATCACTACTGAAAACCTTCAATCAGTTTTTTCATTTTTCAGCCCGAGCTTTTTGTTCCGACTTTCGATACAAAAGTAACGGAATATTTGTCCACGGGGTGGGTTTTTTTTTCTTCGGACAAACTTCGACTTCTTAACTAGCCAATTTGACGGACTTTTTTTATATCATTCGAAAGCTATTGTTATCCTGAGCCTGAATTTGAAAAAATATTTTACCTGTGATTATTTTTTGTAAAGTTATGAGGGTTTAAAGATTGCCATTTTGACCAATTTGGGACAATTAACGCGCGATATAATTCGCGCTATTAACGCGTAAGCGGAGATTTAATCCGTCTTAGAAATCGTTCCAAATTGGTTAAAAGAAGCCTATTTGCCATAATTGATTTATTACAAGGAGCGAAACTATTGTTTTGTACTTTATATGGCGTGTGGGGGTGATTTTCATTAAAAATTTTCCAAATTTTAGAAAAAAAATTTTTTTTTCATTTTATTTTATTTCATTTATTTTTTTATGTTTTTTATGTTATTACTGCTCCATAAACTTCAAAAGGCAGTCGGAACTTACAGGGCTTCGCCCTGATACGAGCAGTCTTGTTGTTTGGACTTTCGATACGAAAGTAACGGTAATTTTGTGCTCGGGGTTGGTTTTTTTTCTTCAGACAAATTTCGACTTTTTAACTAGCCATTTTTGACGGAATTTTTTTTTCATCATTCGAAAGCCATTTTTGTCCTGAGCTTGTCCTGAGCTTAAATTTGAAAACATATATCACCTGTGATCATTTCTCGTTATGTTATGAGGGTTTAAAGATTGCCATTTTGGCCAGTTTGACCAATTTGGGACAATTAATGCGCGATATAATTCGCGCTATTAACGCGTAAGCGGAGATTTAATCCGTCTTATAAATCGTTTCAAATTGGTTGAAAGAAGCCTATTTGTCATAATTGATTTGTTACAAGGAGCGAAATCTATTGTTTTGTACTTTATATGGCGTGTGGGGGATGATTTTCGTAAAAAACTTCAAATTTTAGAGAGAAAAAAAATTTCATTTTATTTTATTTCAATTAATTTTTTATGTTTTTTTGCTGCACCATAAACCCTAAAAGGCAGTCGGAACATTCAGGGCTTCGCCTTGATACGAGCAGTCTTGTTTTTTGTTTATTGCTCCGACTTTCGATACGAAAGTAACGGAATATTTGTGCTCGGGGTGGGTTTTTTTTTCTTCAGACAAATTTCGACTTTTTAAGTAGCCGTTTTTGACGGAATTTTTTTAGCATTCGAAAGGTATTGTTGACTTGAGCTTGAATTTGAAAAGATATTTCACCTGTGATCATTTTTCGTAAAGTTATGAGGGTTTAAAGGTTGCCATTTTGACCAATTTGGGACAATTAACGCGCGATATAATTCGCGCTATTAACGCGTAAGCGGAGATTTAATCCGTCTTAGAAATCGTTCCAAATTGGTTAAAAGAAGCTTATTTGCCATAATTGATTTATTACAAGGAGCGAAACTATTGTTTTGTACTTTATATGGCGTGTGGGGGTGATTTTCATTAAAAACTTTCCAAATTTTAGAAAAAAAAATTTTTTTTTATTTTATTTTATTTCATTTATTTTTTTATGTTTTTTATGTTATTACTGCTCCATAAACTTCAAAAGGCAGTCGGAACTTACAGGGCTTCGCCCTGATACGAGCAGTCTTGTTGTTTGGACTTTCGATACGAAAGTAACGGTAATTTTGTGCTCGGGGTTGGTTTTTTTTCTTCAGACAAATTTCGACTTTTTAACTAGCCATTTTTGACGGAATTTTTTTTTCATCATTCGAAAGCCATTTTTGTCCTGAGCTTGTCCTGAGCTTAAATTTGAAAACATATATCACCTGTGATGATTTCTCGTTATGTTATGAGGGTTTAAAGATTGCCATTTTGGCCAGTTTGACCAATTTGGGACAATTAATGCGCGATATATTTCGCGCTATTAACGCGTAAGCGGAGATTTAATCCGTCTTATAAATCGTTTCAAATTGGTTGAAAGAAGCCTATTTGTCATAATTGATTTGTTACAAGGAGCGAAATCTATTGTTTTGTACTTTATATGGCGTGTGGGGGATGATTTTCGTAAAAAACTTCAAATTTTAGAGAAAAAAAAATTTCATTTTATTTTATTTCAATTAATTTTTTATGTTTTTTTGCTGCACCATAAACCTTAAAAGGCAGTCGGAACATTCAGGGCTTCGCCTTGATACGAGCAGTCTTGTTTTTTGTTTATTGCTCCGACTTTCGATACGAAAGTAACGGAATATTTGTGCTCGGGGTGGGTTTTTTTTTCTTCAGACAAATTTCGACTTTTTAAGTAGCCGTTTTTGACGGAATTTTTTATAGCATTCGAAAGGTATTGTTGACTTGAGCTTGAATTTGAAAAGATATTTCACCTGTGATCATTTTTCGTAAAGTTATGGGGGTTTAAAGATTGCCATTTTGGTCAATTAGGGATAATTAACGCGCGATAAATTTCGCGCTATTAACGCGTAAGCGAGATTTAATCCGTCTTAGAAATTGTTCCAAATTGGTTCAAGGAAGCTTATATGCCATAATTGATTTGTTAATAGCCGCAAAGTCTACAACTTTAAACTTAATATGACGTGTGGGGGGATGTTTTTAAATAAAATCTCAAATTTTTTCAAAAATTTTTTAAATTTTTTTTGGTTACATTGAAAATTTTCAAGTTATTAATGTTCCATAGACCTTAAAATGCAGTCGAAACATTCAAGGCTTGGCCCTGATACGAGCAGTCTTGTTCTTTTTATGCTGTTTTACTAAAATTGCTGTGCAAAATTTGTCGCTCAACGCAAAAGTAGAAGCTGAGCTTTTGTCATTTGGAAGTGAATATGAAATGAAGACTTCCTGTTTATATCTTGTTCATCAGTTGAAAATTGGTTGACCAATATCAAAAACATAGTTTATACCATTACTCTTTTATGCCAAATTTTTGAATTTCAAACAAAAGTTTGTTATGACTGAAAAATATGGTAATGCGCAGGTCAAAATTGATCCAAAGTTCAAAAAAGGACAGAATTTTCCTACTTTTCAGTAAACAGGCAAGCGTTCCGAAATGTTAAGTTTCTCACTACTGGTAGTCTTCAGTTTTTCGACATTGTAAGGGTTCAATGGCTGAAATTTAAAAAAAAAAAGATTGATTCGGTCAAAAACTTTTGTTTAAACTTTGCACGTAAACAAGCTCAACGAGCCTATGTTCTGAAAATTGAGCTTAAAGTTCGCATCATCGCGTTTATTTTTACTATTACAATTAGACGAAGGATCAAAAACGCGCTTGAAAGTTTTCGGATTCTTCGTATGTTGTTTCCATGTAAATATATAATAAACTTTCCTGCATCCTAATTTTCTATTATTGATTGTTTGAATAACTATAGTAGAATCTGAATTAAATGAAATAAATGAAATATACCATCACTGGAATTTTTTAACAGACTGTTCAAAACGCGTTTATGAGAAAAAAATAAGTTTTAAAAACATCGATAGGCCGTGATTTTTGAAAGTTTCAACCCTGGTTAATCACGAAACTTTCTTCCTCGGAATTGAAATCAAACGTGTCTTTCGATTCAATAGAAGACGGACATTCCCAGTAATGGTCATCGTCATAATCGATCACATCTACTTCACGTGGTTGTTCGGTCTTCAAACACATTTTATGCTTTTGCAAGGTTTGAACTAATTTCTTAAACATGCGCTTCATTTCTGCTCTGAAGCTTGAACTGTACAAACCGTAGAAAATCAAGTTGCAAATTGCGACCATAAGTCCTTCAAGCATAAGCCACACATTCAAAGCAAATTCAGCATTATTGTTAATTGGTCCATTGTAAAGCTCGTAGAACTGTATAAAAATTGAAGGGATAAAAGCAAACGAGTACACCAAACTTGGAATCGAAAACTGTAGCGACCATTTGTAAATTTTGAAAGAGTAATCACGCGCTATTGAATACCCAGTCATTTTAACATCTGAGCTTTCGGCTTCAATTTCTGCGTGGCGGTTGTTTCGTATGAATGAACGTTTGGCTTTAAAAATTACAACTAAAAGCAGTACCCAAATTAGTGCAATTAGCAGAAGAGTTATCAAATTTGAAATAACAAAAGCTGTTTCCCCATGAGTGTCAATAATGCACTCGCCATCTTTTTCGACATAAGTAAAGTTTATTCGACAACAAGCTGGACTTATGTACGTCTTACTGTACGCAATATTGTATGTTCGCACAAATAAAACTTGAGGCAAATTTGTGATAAGACCAAGGGACCATCCGATCATATTCATTGTTAGAAACTTATGCTCGATGAACCATGATGGAACTCTACTAGACTTATCATCAATTGCTATGAGTAGGTTGACAAATAGAAGAGATGTCCTAGAACAGAAAACTTGGGTTATTTTCTGAGGGGGGTGTAGCGAGCGATTAGCATGTGTGCCTATTAGCAGGCGATAATTGCTTTAACTGGGTGTGCTTTCAGACGAAAAAAAATTAGCATGAATTAGCAAATAATTTCGAAAATCACTTGATTTGTTAGAAGAAGTAACATTTCATTTTCACCTTTTCAAAAATTCAGCTGAAGGCACGCTGTTCAAAATTTTGAATTTGATTAAACAAAACGTGAAAAAGCGAATCTTCAAACTACATTCTTTTACATGTGCATGCTAATCGACACACATGCTAAAAAGCCGGTCCCCTTTTCCGTGCAACCTAAATTCATCAGAAAAAGGTTTTTCAAAACGCGAGTTTACGAGGTTTTCGGACGCAGAATGAACAGGTTATTTTTTTGTTTCGTTAGTTTTGAAATTTGTTTGCAGAAATTTGTAAAAGATGATTTGAAGCAATTTGAGTAAACGTTTGTCTTTACAAGCAATGTCAGAATGTAAATTGTCAGAAACTTTCCTAGTTAGGTTAACTGGGGTTTGTGGATAACAAAATTTACTAAGTTTAGTTTTTCAGCAGGTTTTGTGCTCGATGTAGTGAGACAAATTACAAATTTTTAACTATCAGTTTTTTATTTAGTTTTTAATATTATCTGTAAAAAGCCATGCCATGATTACTTTAGAAAAAATAGTTACCTACAGTCTTTTTTATTAAATTTTGGGGTATGAAAATTTTAATGTTAAGAAACTGCTGCAATTTAAATCGGAATTAGAAATCCTTCTCAGCCTCATCAATAATGCAACTAAAAAAGGCCAGCTAATTATTTTTTAGGCATACAAGAGCTTTGGGAACAGTCAGAGTTTCGCTTTGATGCGACTGCTCTAGTTTTTCCGACCTGCGAAGAAAATGACAGAAAATTTGTGCTCATGGTGTTTTTTTTCTCCGAAAACACATTCGAATTTTAAATAGCCCTTTATGGTGGGATTCTTATGTCATCTGATATCTACTGACATTCTGACCCCGAAACTGTTCCCATATGACCTTTTTGATGCAAAAAAAGGAGGTTTCGATGACGGTGACTCTGGCCAATTTGAGATAACTAATGCGCAATATACTACGTGCTATTAACGCTCAAGCAGCAATTCAATTCGGCTCAGAAATTGTTCCAGCTGTGGGGTATATTTTTCAAAAACATAATATGACTTTGATTTTATACTTTTCTTAGTTTCATCATTTTCTTAAAAGAAAAACAACTCCATGAACGTTAAAAAGCATGGACGTTGAAATCCATGGACGTTAAAAAGCATAAACTCCATGGTCGTTAAAAAGCATAAAAAACAACTCCATGGAAGGTTAAAAAGCTGTCAACTGTCTATGAAAAGCAGTAGCAAATTCAGACTACACTAAAACGCTTGTAAATTGATTTTTCATTGAACGCAAAGCAAGACTGAATGTTCCGACTGCCTCTTAAGTTCTATGGAGCAATAGTAATATGAAAAAATTAAATAAATGAAATAAAATAAACTCAATTATTTTTTCAAATTTGAGATTTTTGTGAAAATCATCCCCCCATATAAAACACAAAGTGATGGTTTTTGCTCCAAGTAACAAATCAAATATGGCAGATAAGCTTCCTCCAACTAATTTGGAACGATTTCTAAGACGGATTAAATTTCCGCTTACGCATTAATTGCGTGTAATATATCGTGCGCTAATTGTAACCAATTGGCCAAAATGGCGATCTTTAAACCCCCGTAATTTTACGAAAAATGATCACGGGTGAATTATCTTTTTAACTTTGAGCTCAGGACAAAATTTTTTGAGTGATATAAAAAAATTTCCGTCAAAAACGATAGTTAAAAAGACAAAGTTTGTCTGAAAAAAGCCACCTTAAGCAAAAATATTCCATTACTTTTGTTAGAAAAGTCGGAACAAGCGAGAAAATATTGCTCATTTTTGACGCTTCATGTTTGATTACTTGTAACTGGTTTTCGTAGCAAAATTGAACTTCAAAGCTTTCTGTGAAATTGTCTGGAGTTTGGAGCAAAAATTATGAGCTTAAGGAAATCTTAGCTGCTAAAGCAGTCGAGCTTTTTGTGAATATGTTTTTATTACCCTATTAAAATCTTCAGGCTGAAAAAGAATATCAGTGTTTTGTTTGACTATTCCTTACACCCTCCCCCCCACCTCACATATGCATCAATTTTATGTTGTTATGGGTGGAAAATTTCATGGGATTTTACAAGGTTAAATACGGAGACCAAATATGTTTGTCAAAAAATAATTAGTCCACATACCAATTTGTGTAGCAATCTGATAGTGTGAACAAATTTTTACCACTAAAATTTTGCTGGTGGGGGAAAGAAAAAGACCCGCGTTGACCAAAAGGGCTAATCATACAACTTTCAAATAAAAAAACTGCAAATGATACACTTTTTATGCCATTCTATAAGTTCAGAAAATTGCATGAAAGGTCAATGATTAATGGTTTTTCATATATGGAAATTGTATGCACACAAAGACCGAACACATGTCACAAAAACCATGGTTTACTCAAAACCAAAGGTTTGATCGCCTAGAATTTACAATGCATCGGAAACGACATGAATTCTGTATGAGTGTTCTTACACAAATCATATACTGAAACAACAAACTTTTAAATTTTGGCAAACATTTTTAAAGATAATTCCTTTTAAAATTTGTATTTTTAAATTATCAGACATTAATCAAGGCATATATAAACAAGGAATAAAATTTTAAAAAAGTTAACATGAAAAACGGAAAAAGATCAATTTTTGTGTAACCAAAACTACGTTATGCACACAAAACAATTAAATTTTGCATGCAAAAAAAACTTTTGGGAAACTTTTTTGTACAAAATTTAATTTGCGGATGAGAACAAAAACAAAAAATTTTCAGGGCTTTTCCAAAATTACTTATGGGACTATTTCAAAGCTTTTCTTTTTTTTAGTACGATAAACCGACATTTATGCCAAAACAAGAAATTGAAATATCTTGTATAATTTAGCAAATGTATGAAATTTGTATGACTATTTTTTCATAGATGAAGCTTATTGAATTGTATGATTAGCATTTTTGGTGTATTAAAGTCAACCCGGGAAGCCTTTTGTTTTCTTCTTATTTGATGTTTTTAATGGGGTTCCGATAGTTTTAGTGGTAGATCGAAGATTTGCGTGAAAAAGGCACCAAACAGATCTCTTTGTGCTAACATTTTTTGTTGGTAGAAAACTTTCCCCTCAAACTTCTTAACGACTCTGATAAGAAAACATAGTCCGCGACTATAAAACACTACCCAGGTTACGAAATTTCGATAGCGGAATCAACATCGGCGCGACTTAGAAGGTTTGAAAGTTATTCGCGGACCTCGAGCGGGCAAGCAAGTAATAAAAAGCCCTTTTGTCTGCCCCTTTCTAAATCTGCATACGGATAGTTCTCTAACATTTAGAAAAAATACAAATAGATGTCTCAAAATAGCCACAAAATGAACTATTTTGATAATTAAAGAGCACAGGAATTAAAATAAACCTCTTGATGAGAAAAAAAACTGCATTTACAAGCAGTCAATTTTAACTCTAGTTAATATGGTTTGTACTAACTTGAAAAAAAAAAATTCGTCTTACCAAATGAGAGATGAAGATAAGCCAATTTTGCTGATTAAAGCTCCGACAAAGCACAAATTAGCGTCCATATTTTGCTCCGACTCCTCTGGGTCGAAGGCATAGTTGTCGGGAACATCGCCGAACAAGAACCGAATGAAAGACGAAGTAGAAGTTATCGCATCCGAGAGAATAATCATCGCAATAATTTTTCGACTGGTTGTTTTTAGTTTTTTCATAAAAAATGGAGGGATAATTAAAAATGGTGAAGAAAAAAGTACTATAAAAGAGAGTGTTGTATATCCGTATATTTTGAGTTCGCCAAGTGATCGTTCGTCGAAGTGAGTGTTGTTATCGTCTAAAATTCGGTTGTAGAAAGTACCAGGGTAGCAATAATTGGGTTCCTCCGATTCATCCATAGTTCTTTCGTCTTTGTAGCTTTCGGCTTACTGAATTCAGAGCCAATTTTGCCTTTATTTTTAATCAAAACAACACCTAAAGATTTATTTTGTAGGTTAAAATTAACCAAAATTGAACTACAGACTGTCAAAGGCGTAATTGATTGTTTTAAATACCTGGTGATCACATTATATTGATGCAAACATTTTAGATTTGAGCTTCATTAAGAGACTATTGTTAATTCTATTGTTCACAATAGAGTTTTGGGTTTCATTTTGTTCAAATAAATAAACCCAAAGGCATATATTAAATTACTGATCATCACGTGATGGCAGTACGGCGGTTATAACAAATATTCAAATCAAAACAGCATTTAGAAACGGTGAATATACAATTTATAATCCATCGCAAAAACATTAATATTATGATTTTTGTTTTTATTAGAGTTTTCTTTATACCTGCATTTTGGATAGGTAGCTCAAAAACTTTTATTCAAAAAAATGTTGTGAACTTGTTGGTTTTATGAGAGGCTTCTTTTTTCTTATAGATAAGTACCTCACTTTATTTCAAGTTTCTGCAACGAATAGAAGCCAGTAATTAAAGCTCGAAAAACTAGATCTTGTAGTTGTTTTGTTCCGTATTTCAAAAAGAAAGTTGCCGAAAAAAATTGATAGCAATTTGCGGAATACGCTTATAATTGCGAAATCCGGAAAACTGGCTATATTCGCTCGCTGCGGATTTCTAGAACATGAAAAGTACTGATGCCTGCGCTCCAAATTATCTTTTGCAATATTGATAATTGGCAATTTGGGATGATTAACAATTCAATTCAATTCAATTCAATTCAATTATTCCATACAGTGAAGAAATACATACGTAACCACTCACTGCATCAGGATAGCTAGAACAGGCTTTCCAACCTAACAAGTAGCTGCCCTCCGGGATATCTATCACAATTAAGTAACGACAACGGGTAAACAAATCAGAAAAAATTGTCGACCAGCTGTACATTGTCTAAAATGTAATTTCTTTTGAAAACCTTTAAAAATTTTGACAGCTGTTCTTGAGAGTACGTTTTGATCTTATCGGGTACGAGTTTATTTGACATCAAAAAAATGAAACATTTAACAATTTTGCATGAAAGGGAGTTTTCCACAGTTTTTGTCCTACAGCGATAAAACGGAATCATTCCGTTAGAAGTAGAACGTGTATTTCGTTTATTACTATAATTACTGACGTTTAGAAAATCAAGAGGTGAACGTTTTAAATATTGAAAAATGGCTTCTTTAAAAAGTTGAGTTAAATAAACAAGCAATACTCCGTGTGAGAAACTGATCCAAATTAATAGAATGGCAAATAGTACGTCGGTCTTATTCATACATTACTTTATTGTTCCGACTTTCGATACGAAATCAACGGATTATTTGTGCTCGGGTCGGGTTTTTTTTCTTCAGACAAATTTCTACTTCTTAACTAGCCTTTTTTGACGGAATTTTTTATACCATTCGAAAGATATTGCGGTCTTGAGCTTAAATTTGAAAAGATGTTTTACCTGTGGGCATTTTTTGTAGAGTTACAATGGTTTGAAGACTGCCATTTCGGCCCATTTGGGAAAATTAACGCGCAATATATTTCGCGCTTTTAACGCGTAGGAGGAGATTTAATCCGTCTTAGAAATCGTTCCAAATTAGTTGAAAGAAGCTTATTTGCCATAAACGATTTGTTGTAAAGAGCCAAATCTATCCTTTTGTACTTTATATGGCGTATAGGGGGCTGATTTTCATAAAAAATTTCAAATTTTGTAAAAAAAAATTCTTTTTTTTTTATTCAATATATAAGCGCAATACGCTTATATCTGCGGAATTTGGAATAACTAGCTCCATGTATATATAAAAACTTCTATATAGCTCCATGAAATCTCTAAATGTTTACCGCGAAACCTGAAAAGTACTGATGCCTGCGCTCCAAATTATCTTTATATATATACAAGCGATACTTTACAACAAATAAATACTTTACAACAACAAGTAGATGTGCATACAACATATAATCTTATGCACATATACAGTGTACACTATATAGCGCGGGGATGAAAAAATATTTTTAAGATCGATCAAAATAAATCATAAAAAATTGTTTCGTCAAATTTTTTTTCCAACAACTGTATCTAATGATGAATTTTGTTTTTCCCGCCATTAAGGAAATCTCTAAATGTTTACCGCGAAACAATAGTCTCATAGAGAGCTTATGACATTAGCTTAAAAATTTGGGCAGTTGGCAATTTTCAACCTAGCTAAACTAATCATTAAACTAGCAATTATGTCCTCAAGGTTTTGCTAAGCAAAAAAGCGAAAAGTTACCATCATGAACAAAAATTTATCCAGAAAAAGTTATGATGAAATATTGAATAGATGAACTAATTTGAAAACTTTCAAAACGATTTTCTAAATTTTAGCCAAAAAAAAACGAAAACCATACAATAGTAACAACTCATTATAGAAAAATGAAGTTGGGATCAAATAATTGAAAATAATTTGCAAAAAATCATTGAAAAACATTGGTTACATTTTATTATAATCAATTAAAAAAGAATTTTTTTTTAATTTAAAAAACAGGAACTTTTTGCTTCATTTTTAATCAATTTCATCAAGGCAAACTACATAATTGGCGTATAAACTTCGATCAGCTCTTTTTACTGAGTTAGGTGTCTATTAGTCTTTGTACATCACAGTTTCGAGGCTTCCTAATGAAAAGATACCCAAATATTTGAAAATTTAAGATGTCCGCTTCGTTACAACCGACAACGCGTCAAATGAAAAATTTGGTCTGTCGAGTCCTTCCAACAAAATTGTTTTGCATATTAGGAAACAAAGCTCATATCGAAAACCTGATGCAAAAAGATTGTGGATAGCTTTTTTGGGTCTTGCTACTGAAATATCTTGTTCTGTCTTTCGGAGGAGTAAACACAGTGTATATACTCAAACCATTTCGATGCTTTATGTAGCCACTCAATTTTTTTTTTAAAAATTTATTTTGATTATTTAATGTGAAATTTTGGATGTTTGAAAGTTACAGATTTAGTGAACTTGGTATGGCAAGCGCGCGTTATATTTCAATCAATTGATGACTAAACAGTCACTTTACCTGGCTCAGAAACCATTTAAACCAACATGAGGCAAGCTATTTTGTTTTTATAGCACAGTGTTGATTTAATTTGTCCGGTAATAAGAACACGAGCTAACGTTTAAAACAGTTCTCAAATTTTAATCATTTCAGACAAAAAATGATAATATTTATCACTCTCTAGAGTTTAATCACAAATGATATGATGCAGTTTTTTGCAAAGTTGAAGCAAATATTTAAGCCGAAATTGGTTAATTTTTTCTCCCTATTATTTGGCGAATTGATGACCAAATTACAAACCACTCGGCATTTTTTAGGTAAAGACTCCTACATTGGGCACAGAACATTATGTATTTGTGCGATAACTAAAAATTTTGAAGGTGTTTTAGAAAACAATTTTAGCCGAAATGATTCTTAAACATTTCTGGCAAACTTTTGGAGATTATTCCATTCCTCAGGCTACACCAGCAGTTCCCCTTTGATATGAATTGCTAAACTAGTAACTATGAAATTTTAGCGTAAAATATTTAGTCTTAATTTAGAGCCGGTCTAGAACATGGAATGATACCATTTTACTACTGTAACCACAATGATTTATTTTACTACTGTAAACACAAATAAATAGTTTTGTCTAAAAAAACACACTTTCAGAAAAAGGAGTGTACATATATCAATTTCACTCGTTTTGTTCAGATAACTTAAATCACTACTACAAGTTAAAAGACGCTAAACTTTTTCTTTGCTCTTCTACCTAGCGTGGGACTTCTACCTAGCGTGTTACCTAGCGTAGGAAATTTGTTGTCTTGGCAACTTGTGCTTCATTAAAAAGTAAGTTCAACTCGTCTTTACTTACGTCAAAAACTGTCGCTTTGGTCTGCGAACACAAGCAGTGTTTAAACTCAGATTGTTTTATCATTTCAATCTGCTCTCTGATTTTCTAGTTTTTTTTACTTGATTCAGTTGTCGTTTACTAGCAAATTTTGCTTGGAGGAGGTTAGTTAAAAATCGATGCAGAGCTTTAGCTCGATAGGAATATCATAAACTAATCTGAGACTTTTGCATTAAGAGTATTCAGCTTTTTGATAAAAAAATAATATAATGAAAAAATTCATCAGTTTTTTTCAAAGTGCTCACTTAATGTTGCGACCATCTCTACGAGAATGCGGTATGTTTCAATCGTCTCGACCAATGTCAGGTATGCTTCGACTTTTTGACCGAAAAAAAAGTGCTCGACTTTGTTCGATCCAATCGAAGCATATTTTGTTCGTCTCTACCAAATTCGGTATGCTTCGAGCTTTAATTAAAAAGAGTTATCCAAAATTAAACGTTTTAATTTACAACTTTCGGGCAAAACTCCAGATTGAATTTTTCACCAGAAAAAGTTTGTTAAAGTTTTTTGAGTTTTAACTGCTTTGTATAGATTAATTACTTCGAACTAATTTTTTTCTTCTTGTGGATGAGGCTTAAAAAAATTGGTTGATATCTGAAAAACTATTCGGTTTGGTTCGTCACACCGCGAAACAACCGGCAACTTTTCGAGTTGTGTTTTGACCGTGCTCGAGTTATGTTCCGAAAGTGCTTGATGTATATTTCGATCCTTCTGGAGCGATATTTCGACCATGCTCAGCCAAATTTTGATATATTTTGACCGTGTTAGCCGTATCTTTTTACCGTACTCGCGGTATGTTTCGACCGTGCTTGACCAAATTTCAAATGTTTCAATTGAGCTTGCGGTATGGTGATTATTTAAACTCGACCCAAATTCGCGTCTCGACAATTTTTTTTTGATTGAGAACTGACATGTGATCGACTTTGAAAGTCAAAACTTACAGTTTGCTCCTAGGTTTGGCCACAATTTCGGCTGAAGTCAAAAACGTTACTTTTTTGTCTAGGATATTCGAGTCCCAAATTTGACTGAGTTAAACAATCTCTCCCCTCAATAGACCAAGTGAACAATCTCCCCCTAAAATTAAATGTCAAATTCGGTGACCAGTAAGGTCTGCTTGTACTATGCTCAAACCTGATCGGCTGATTAATATTATTACTTTTAACCAAGTGAACAATTTCGTGATCACGATTTCGTAACTTGGGTGGAAATAGCTGGTCCCTAACTTTTGCTTCAGCTTAATTTGAGCTTTTAAAATAAATTTTAATCAAACTACTTTTCAAATTAGGTATCATATGTCGATAAGTTTTTGATAGGAGGTTATTAAAACTTGATAAAATAGTTTTTAGTCGATATAAATCTCGTTACTTCCATCGTCAGATTCAAAATTAAATGCGTCATCGGAGCCAATCGGAGACAAACAGTCGGTATTATCATCAATGCCACAGCCATTCACACTAAATTCTCGTGGTTGTTTGACCTTGAAGCGCAATTTTAATTTCTCACAACTCAGAAAAAAATGTCTAAACATAATAGTCATTTCTGATCTGAATGTTGTACTGAGGAATCCGTAGAATATTATGTTGCAAATTGCAATGAAAACTCCGTCGAAAATAACCCAGAAAGTCAGAGCAAAATTGGCAAAGTTATGAACAGGTCCATTATAAATCTCGTAGAAGGACACACAAATTATCGGCAAAAATGCAAATGAGTACACCAAACTCGGTATCGAAAATTGTAGAGAGCATTTGTAGATTTTTAAGGAATAGTCACGTGCGACTGACGAACCAGTCATTCGAACCACCGAGTTATTGGCCTCTAATTCGGCTTGGCGACTGTTTCGTCTATATGAACTTCTCGCTCTATAAACCACAACCAGAAGAAGCGCCCATATAGTTGCAATTAGCAGAAGGGTGATTACGTTTGTAGTGAACAACACAGTCTTCCCATGTGTATCAACTATACATTGATTGTTCTTTTCGACATAAGTGTAATTTAGCCGACAAGCTGCATTGGTGATATATGATTTACTATATACAATCTTGTAAGTTGCAAGATACATAATTTCTGGAACGTTGGTCAGAAATCCAAGTGGCCATCCTATTAGATTCATGGCCAGAAATTTGTGGTCATTAAACCACGAAGGAACTTTTGATCGCTCGTCGATAGCCAGAAACAGGTTGAAAAACAAAAGAGTTGTCCTGAAACACAAATTTGGAAGCTGAGGACGAATGTTTGCAAGTTGAATTGTCAGCTGTCTTTATTGGCCAGAAAGAATGACAATTTAAGAAGGTTCCGAAAAATCGATCCAAGGACATTCAATTTTTTTTAAACGTATACGTTGTGTTCAAATCGTAAAATAATCTAAGCTAACATTATTTAGCATGTGATAAAATTTTTATTTGTCAGATTTTTAAAATTCAACTCCTACGCACACTCAAACTTAAAGTGGATTCAGATAAGGGCTTTATGATAAGCTGAATCTCAGTTTTAGTACGAATTGGTTGTCCGACATTTTTTTTTGGTGGTTCTGGTTAAAAATATTATCAGAATATTATCTGGTCAAAAAATATTATCTGGTCAAAAAACAACATATTATCACAATTTAATCCAATGGGTGTTATTTCAATCAAAAACTTTAAGAACTAACTACCTGTACATATATTTTCAACAAGACCTAAAACTATCAAGCTGAAAAGAAAAGTAGCGTACCAAATCAACGACGATGATAGTCCAACGTTGCACATAAAGTCGGCGCTGAAGCAGAGCGTCGCCTCCAATCCTGCTTCAATTTCTTCGGGCTCAAAATCATAGTTTTTCGACTTGTCTCCGAGCAAAATCCGAATGCATACAGAAGCTGCATAAACTGCGTCAGAAAGAATAATCATAGCTACTATTTTACGACTGGTTGTATTAAGTTTTTTGAGGTAAAATGGGGGAAATATTAGGAAAGGCGATGATAGTAGAACTATGAAAGCAAGGGTTGTGTAACCATATTTTTTCATTTCGGCGATCGTTCCCGAGTTGAAGTTTGTGTTATCGTCAATAGATCGATTGTAAAAAGTTCCGGGATAACAATATATAACTTCTTCCGACATTTGAGAAAAAAATTAAATAACGAATTTTCGTCAACAAAAGTGAAAAGTTTTTTATTGTTATTTATATGATCATTATTTGGAAAAGTTTCAGGGACAAAGTTTTTTTTATAGGTAGCAAACAATCTAAATTTATGGCCTCTGCAAGTTTCGTTTGTTCCTTGATTTGTAATTTAGATTCTAACTTTTTGATCGTAAATTCCGACAGAATTTCAGATTTTGACAGAAAAACAATCTCGACAGCTGAAACCAGGAAGCTCTGCCAATCAGGATGACTGACTTAATAATTGCTAGAGATTTTTACAATGTGTAGAATTGAAGAATTTGGCAGCTATTCGATCAAACAAATACAAACCCAATTACAAATTGAAACCTGTCGCAATGCTTGCCATCACATGATGATGAAAAATTGATACTTCAATGATGGTGAGATGAACCAACAAATAACAACAAGAACAAATATACAAGGTCATGTTCAACAAGCCTAAACAGCGAAAAATTCGATCGTGTTATCACGAAAGTCTCAATTGTTATATATTGTTATATACGCTGATATTTTTATGCTCACAAAGAATGTTATCGAAATACCAGTTTTAAAATGGGGGTCAAATACGTCACAAAACTCCTCCTCGAAGTTGAACCTTTCGATGCTGATTGAATCATAGCAGTGTAATATCATCAAACAGGGATCAACCAAGTTTAAGTGGTGAGATTGTGAAGCTTGCTGAAAAGTTACTGATGATAACAGGAAAGCATTGGAGAAAAAACCAATGCCGCTTCATTGAACCAAACCAAGATAGAGAGAGAGAGAGAGAGCTCTAATGAAATGAACTTGTTCCGCCCGGGTCGAGTTCCTCCCAAACATAGGCCCATACTTTGGAAGTCGCACCGCGTCGCACCACCAGGGACCCAAATTGCAAAGTCGCGTGCGTTTGAAATTCTGGAATGTGTGGACATAAAGTCGCAAATGTCGCGATGTGGGTATAGCTAATGGAACCACTGCGGGAATATTGTCATTCGATCGCCCTATAAATAAACCAATTTCCGGTGTTTAATTAAGAAATAATTCATTCAGGCGAAGGAGAGAGTGCTGTGTTTGGAGAGAGTCTTCTAAATGGGCTTTCACACAACGCTCCAAAAGGATCATTTTTTATTCCTTTCTTTCCCGAGTCGAAATTATGACTTTATGTTTCGGTCACAGAGGACAAACCAGATATTATAGTTTGAGCAGTAATTCATTGTCGCACGGAACTTCTAGCCGAACACATAATCTAACCCGGAAGTCAGTCACAAATTAGCAGCATAGTCGAACTCAACGTCAAAAAACAAACTCGAACAAAGTTTAACCAAAAATTCGATTTTTAGTCAGATTTTTCCTTGCAAAGCTGTAGCACAGATTTAAAATTAAAATCTATTATACATGCATATTCAATTTACAATTAGCTATAACAGCACATTTGCCGATCTTTTACAGGACCACCATGAGAAGCCTGCACAGGTTTCCAAAGTCAAAAATCAGCAATTGTTTTTTATTGGTAAGCGACAGAACGAACAGGTAATTCCATAAATAAACCAAAACAAACTTCAATAAGCACAAAACTAATCGCAAATATATCAGGGCGAAGCCTTGAATCTTCAGACTATACTTTGGGGCCAATTAAAAATTGTTTGATGATGATTTCTGATCCAACTAAACCATCTCATCTCAAAAACTGATGATGCTTTCTTAACGAGCTGAACCATCGCATCTCAAATATTGATGAGTGACTCAACTGCCATTTCCCCTGAACTGCCATTTTAAACCCATTTCAGACCACTTCAAACCTTAAATGGCTTTAGATGATTGTATTATGCAATCCAATCCCAAAAAATCATCCAATCATCAGATAAAAATAAATAAAGATTTGACATCCGCACAGTTAACCAATGTTTTCAAATTCGTTTGTAGATTCCGCTGACAGTTGGATAAATCCTTGCTTTCAAATTGCGCGTTGCTATAGACAATAAATCCACCTCTAGCTTTTAATTGATCGTATTCAAGTTCATAAACAAAAATACGGAATCCACTTACAATTCGCGGAATCCGCTTACATTTGCGGATTTCACTTGTATTTTGCGGAATCTACTTACAGTTGCGGAATTCAGAACAACTAGCTATATTTGCTCTTTGCGGAATCTGCAACAACACAAATGTTCCGGCAAAGTTTTCGTTACAGGTATTTGTACGCGGAATCCACTGAAATTTTGTTAGTGGAATCCACTTACATTTTGGAACGTATTTAAAGACTTGGAACATACAGACACAAAACTGTGCGCCTATCCAGTGCACAGTTTGGCCTCGTAATGATTACAATGGCAATATAATCGATTTCGTGGTCTCAACTTTACATCTGTAATGGATGATACTGGATTATTTTGTCTCGGGAATCCATTATAATCGATTAGAATCCATGGGCGCTCGGTGCGGGAAGGCTAGTGCACGAACCCTGATAACTCGCTTTGCTCAATGAGAGGCAATGGTCGCCCCAATAATAAAAACTTGTTATTTTTTTCTTCAATTTTTGATTTTTTTCTTTTTCGAAATTTTTCTTGATACTCAATTAAAATGAACTTCAGTCGGTCAATTGATTGCGTGCTCTAAACACATAAACCATCTATCTACTTGCATTTGTTGACGTCTTTTTATAGCGTCTTAGTTTTTGCTTGGGGAAGATAGCTAACTTGATCCGAAGTTCGAATTATTCAAAATCAATGGCATCCTCAGGTTTTTTTGACAGAATTTACAAAATAAACACTAAATTTTTTCTTAGCCTTTCAAAAGTTATGTGCACAACGCCAAATTAATTATCAAATATGAAAGTTAAAAATATTTATTGATATAACAGATGCAATCATTAATTCTTGATAAATTTACCACCTTCTGATGGTATCTGTCATAGTATCTAAATTTAGTTCATGTTTCAATTCGAGTTGTGTTATCTATTTTAATCATCTGTCTGGCGCTAACCGGTATTTAACCTTCGGAGTGTCTGTCACCTTCGGATGACAGCTATGCTATTGTCTCCGACTAACTTTATGAAATACGGTTGCTTAACAAACGGAATTTAATTAACACTTCGAAACCGTCTTTTCACATGGCGCAGCCAACAGGCCAAAGTGGGGGGAAAAACCCACTGGGAATTACATCGTTTTGGCCCTCGACGTTTGCAGAACCACCAATGCTATGGGAGTTTTGGTTCAATCGATTTCAATGGGGGATGGTGGCAAAACACAGTTTAAATCCTAGGAATTTCTATTATGCCAGTACGTTAACTGCAGCGCAGATTACAGATTTACCAGAGGAGGTAGACGGGAAGAATCGCCTAGCTTCGGAACAAGTGCTTATCTCCAACTTGTACTTGTGCCTGGGGGAGAAAGGACAGGATGAGCTGCATAAGAGAAAACCACATCTGGACTTATCTGCAACAAGGTATTCTCGAGTTGTGGATACCATTGAAACCGAATTTAGAAAGGAACGAAACGAAACGTACGAGACATTCCAACTCTTGGCACGGAAGCAACAAATAGGAGAATCGCTAGAACAGTTCCACTCAGTGTTGAGCGGGTTGGCCGCTAGATGTAATTTTGGAGCATTGGAGACCAGGATTTTGCGGGATGTGTTCATCGTCAACATGAACAATAGGGAGGCCCAAAACGAGTTATGCCGCTCGACGAAGACGCCAGAGGAGGTGTACCGTATTGCACTGTCATACGAACGCGGATATAAATATGCAAAGTCATACGGATCGATAACCGGGGGAGGAACCAGTGGAACTACCGGTGGAGCTGGAGCATTCCAAATCAAGACGGAACCAGTGGGGGCCATTCGAGGAGGTTACAGAAACAACAGATCGCGGGGCCGTGGATCATTCAGGGGGCGAGCAGGAATGAGAGGGGGTGGTCTCAGAAGATGCTATAACTGTGACCAACCAAATTTTACTCCGGAACATCTCACAACGTGTCCAGCGAAAAATGCAACGTGCAATTTCTGCAGAAAGACGGGGCACTACGAGAGGACTTGTAGGGGGAAGCGAAATAATCAGGGAAGACCGGCAGTGGGACTGATCCAAAATCAGGAAGAGATGGAAACTACCGAGATAGGTGAAGCGGAGGATACATATTCTCAGCATGAGAATTCCGTCGGTTGGGTCAATACACCGGCCAAGAAGCAGCGATCGTGGGACTCGGATAGCTCAGGAGATTATGTCGTCATGGCAATCAGATCTCGGACGGAAACCGAGCTCAAAGTGGCCGGTGCACGACTGCCGATTAAAGTAAATGGAAAACAAACGAACGTTTGGATAGACAGTGGATCACCGATTTCGATATTCACTATTGGAGAATTAAAACGAACGTTGGGTACCGCAGGCGTCAAGGTGAAGGCACCAGCACCGGAGGACGAGGAGTTCAGGGATTACGGAAACAACCCCCTACGACTACTAGGAACGATGGACGTACTGCTGGAAACGAACGGATGGGTGACCAACGCAAACATCAGAGTGATTGGAGGAAGCAGACCATCAATTATTGGAAGAGACCTAATGCCAAATCTTGGATTACAGATTGTGCAGAAGGCACCGGAGGGAAATGTGATGTCGGTAAAGAGCGACCAAGCCACAGCTGAAGCGACGGACGTGGAGGACTCACTAGACAACTGGCAGATCTATTTCAGTAAGCAGTTTGAAAACCTTTTTAACAGAGTCGGGAAAATTAAGAATTATAAGGTACACGCGGATTTTTTTGCAAAATTAACACCAATTCAACAGAAAGGACGTAGGGTGCCAATCACATTGCAAGAAAAGGTTGATAAGGAAATTGATAAACTTTTGCGACAAGGACACATTGAAAAACTGACTGAATGCTCGGATAAATATTTTGTTTCTCCGATTGTAATAACGGTGAAAAAGGACGGATCGGTAAAATTAGCGCTAGAATCACGGGAGTTGAACAAGCAAGTCCACAAAAACAAATACCAAATGCCAAATATTGAGGAACTTATGGATACGGTAGGACAAACGATAAGCGAACGGAAACCAGGGGATGTATACTTTTCTACTATGGATCTTACGTACGCGTACGGTCAATTACCACTTAGTCCGGAAACGAGCGTTCAATGCAATTTTTCGCTAGTGGGAGGAAAATCAACGGGTACGTATCGATTTCGTACGGGGTTCTACGGTCTAACTACCATGCCGGCGGAATTTCAACGAGTAATGGATACGATTCTTTCGGAATTTCCGCAGGCACATGCATTTATTGATGACATATTGGTGGTCACCAAAGGCACGGAGATCGAGCATATCTCAACAGTCGAGAAAATTTTGCGGAAGCTGGATCGCGAGAATATGTCACTTAAACTCACAAAATGCCAATTTGCGCGGGGGGAATGTGAGTGGTTGGGGCACAAAATCACCCGTACGGGGATAACACCGCTTGT